TCAGCGGGAGTCGAACCGCGACAGTACAGGATGGGAGCTTGACACGCTAACCACTCGGCTACACTGCCACCAGTAACCTTAAGTCCCACTCATATCATTGTGGGAAAATTCTGCCACCAGTCCTTCATCAACATAGATTAAATATGGTGAATACGTCTCATAATACTGATTTACTGGTAGTCGCGAAACTCTACTCTAATATCTAAAAACTTAAGCAACTGGTTCCTGTTCCCATCGTATGCTCTTTATACTTTGTGCAGAGAAGTTGTTATGGTATATCATCAACCTTGTCGGAATGCTAATTTATCGTTAATTTGCAATAAACATAAGAGATGCTATAACGTGTATAGCAACTAGAGAATGTCAAGAGGCATGATTCTCTTTGATCAACGAATTGTCTGACAATCCATCCACCGCAATCACATCGTAAATATGAAGACCAAGATGGTATGACCTTAGGTTTGGTTGCAGTCTCACAACTTGACCTGACCCCATACTCTTCGCACTTTTTGACCAATAGCTCGACGAATTCCACTTCCCCAGTCTACTCGACCTGGGCACCTTGGCTACCTGCCGTGTCTGGCATGACAACAAAGGCTTTGGCCCCGCCTGGCATCTGGACTGGATTGAGGTGAGCGAGTTACACGCGCCACGTTCTACCGGTTCGTTGGACAACGTTGCCGCCGTCCAGAAGTTGCCAGAACTCAAAGAAACCTGGCACTTTGCCTGTGGCCAATGGCTGTCGGCCACGGACGGTGACCGCCAGATCTGCAGAGAGCTGGCCTGCTCGGCGGATACGCCGATGGTGCTCGTGGGGCCGGGCAGGGAGCAGACTGTGTCTCGAGCAACTGCCGACATGCTGAAGGCCCAACAGGCCACTGCATCCACGCCGGACCTGCGTGGGAAACGAGCAGGAGACATCAGTGAGTCACTTGCGTGCCTATTCCAGTTGGCAACGGGAAAGAAGAGCAGATGGACGGCATAAAGCAAGAATGTATGCTTTTTGCGGGAAAGCATTTTTGGTATTCGACAAAAGTTGGCTCTTGCTTGCGAACCTTGTAGAATGTGCAGTTACCACAGTCAATATTGAAGATTCATTATTTGACCCTCATACTACCTTGATTAATAGTAGTTCTCTAAAGTGGACAACTCAATTGTTTTCCGTTTTCGCGGAAACTGGGCAGCTGTCAGTTGGCGATATTGGAACAAGCATGTTGACGCTGTGGTCTAGGCAATCTCCTTCAATTCAGGTGGAAACAGACCTCGGGTTCGTTCGTCGTATGACGGATGTCGTGTGGGCAAAGTATCATTATTGTAGCCATATAAGGGATTGTTGGGAATACTTTCATTTCGTATGCAAGTACAGGATGAAAAGATTCGTAGGTATGAAAAGCAAAATGGTGTGGCCTTTTGTGTGGTCGCAGTCTCCTTTCGTTGTATAGAAGTTGTTTGACCTTGTTTCTGCAACATGGTCATATTGGTAGGAAGACTTAGAGAAACGCACCTAGTCCGGGGTCCATTGTCTGCATGATC